CCCACGCCAAGACTTTTCTATTCTTTCTTCTATCTAGTTTTTCATGCTTAGCATGTAGCATGTTAAGTTTCAACCGTAAATACTGTTTTTTGCCGATAACTTGCCAGTCTCTCCGGCGAGGCAACGAACCGTTTGTTCTCGATAAACCCGCTCTCGGTGTACTTCGCAACCATTTGTTCAAACGCGTTTGGCTAATATGACGCCTAGGAAAGGATCTACATTTCATACTGGCCTGGTAGGAGGCAGTGCTGTCCTTTGGCAATTGCTCGAGCTTTCGATAGATCAACGCCTTTCGTCCTTCACATTAGCTGAGCACAGAGTTTTGACTTTGTAGACGCTTCTCATTCGTTACTTTCATTCTGGAATTCTCAGTCTTCGAGCTATCTTAAAATTTTGCCAGTTATTCTTAAGCAGTTACTTGATTTCATTTAAGAAAATGATGATTGAACGTTTCAGCCCAGCTGCGAAAATAGCTAATGTTATTCAAGATTGATAAACCCGTCAGGGATACGACGCTATTCTACCGACCTACTCATGCTACGTCACCGGGTGTCGCAGTAAATGTGGTTGACACCTTTCTGTCGCAGTGCAATACGATCTGGACAAGTGAGAGGACTCTTTTTGGAGGTGTTCAACCATTTGTCGTACACGAATACTATTTTTGCTCGATTATTACATATTGCTAGTTCATATCGACAGAGTTTGCGGTTTGGCTAAACTGTGGCTTAGTTCAAATAAACTAACACATTCAAATCGAAGGGAATTCAAAATTTCGATATAATGCACTACGATAGTTAAATGAACTTATCTAATAAGTGAACATACAATCGCCGCCATTGTTCAGCTTGAATAAGTTCGCCGTAGCCTCAGTACACGACTCCAGGATAATCGAGCGAAGGGCCGCCAAACACTCTTCAGTAGATCTATGTTCTACAAATCATAAACGTGCATAGAATTGCGATTTGCCATATCACAAATCTCTAGAAGGAATGCTCGGCCTGCTTCGTATTAATTAATCCATAGATATTTGCTCAAGTAAAAGATAAGCAGTGAGACAGCGATTGTCATGAAAGTTTTCTGTCGCTTCATGATTAGAGAGAAGCCTCAACTGGACCCCCAGTCGTTGCTCTAGTGCATATATCCGCGTGAATGTTTACCACCTGCTTCACATAGAAGTGGTCGCAGAGATGTTTTGAGCAGTTGAACGAACAGCTCCAGTGCGCAAAAATCTCCTGAGCAAAAATGAGAATAAATTAGTTCAAATGTTTGAATGTCTAATGATTCACCCTAGTGCTCATACAAAAAATGATATCCGAAGGTCACGTGATAAGAAAATCTGATTAAATGTCGTTTCTCTCACTATTCAAGCGGAAAAACGTGCCTCTGGGAATATCATACTCTGAACAACTTCCAATGTGGGCTCAGTTAAAGAGATAAGAAAGCAGTGAGCAAAGTTTCATAAGCAAACAATAGGTACTCGATCTCTTGTAAGGCATACAAGAACGAATGCATCGATGAAACGAGTATAGCCGCTCTGCATCCGCATTCACGTAATTGGTTTTTTAAACTACGATATACTAAGGACGACGACATGTGGACATTATTATGTCGAATAAACCTGGCTATTCACAATTTCTTGTTATTTAACGAAAAAAACAACAAAAGAAAATACCACTTGAATGAATAAAGAGCATGAAGTCTAGGCGCTCCTTTCAGAGATTCGTGATCCCATAAATCGGAATTCTATACGTGTTTATAAATTGCAGAACATAGATCTGGTGGAGAGTGTTTGGCGGTCCCTCTCCCGATTATCCAGGAGTCGTGTACTGAGGCTACGGCGAACTTATACAAGCTGAACAGTGGCGGCGATTGCATGACCACTTGTTAGATAAGTTCTTTTTAACTGTCGTAGCGCAGTACGTCGAAATTTCGGATTTTCTTCGATTTGAATGGGTTATTTTATTCAGACTAAGCCACAGCTTCACCAAATCGCAAATTCTGCCAATTTTGACTGGCTATTTGCAATAATCGAACAAGAGTAGTGTTTGTGGTAGACAAATAACAGCTCCTTTGACTTGTCCACATCGTATTGCGCTGCGGCAGAAATGAATCATTATCATCACTGCGATCTAGGTGACGTTGTATATAAGTAGGTCGATAGAAATGCTTCGTATCCCTGACGGGTCTGTTAATCTTGAAAAACATTTGCAATTTCCGTAGTTGAGCTGAAACAGTTCTCTCATCATTTTTGTACATGATGTCAAATAAATACTCAAGGACTGGATAGATCAACGACTTTCGTCTTTTAGAATGATTGAGCACTAAATTTTGACGTCATAGACGCTTCTCATTCGTTACTTTCATTTCGAAATTTTTAGTCTTCGAAATATTTTAACACCTTCTTCATTATTCTTGAGTATTTATTTGACATCATGCACAAAAATGATGAGAGAACTGTTTCAGCTCAACTACGTAAATTGCAAATGTTGTTCAGGATTAAGAAATCCGCCTGGAATACGACTGTGTTCTAACGACCTACCTATATACGACGTCACCTTCCGTCGCAATGAAAGTGATCGCTTCATTTTGCCACAGCGCAGTACGATTTATACAAGTCAGAGTAGTCTTTTTTGGAGTTGTTCCACCATCTACCGTACACAAATACCAGTCGAACGACTTGTTTGGTTGGATAGCGGCAATGATATGATGCATCAGAATGGCACTACAAGTCATTGTTAAGGCCAAATACGCATTCAGTCACCTGAAACGAAACTAGGAATTGAACACGAATATTTCGCGCGTACCTAAAGGGCTGACCCACACAAAGACTTTTCTACTTTTTCTTCTACTTGTTTTACATGCCTAACATATAGCATTTTGAGTTCTAACCATGAAGGCTTGTTTTAACGGATAACTCGCCAGCCTCTCGCGTGAGGCTAACAAGAGTTTGTCTGCGATTTTGAGAAAACCCGCTTTCACTGTACTGGCCAACTATTTAATTAAACGTGTTTGGCTAATCTAATGCATAGGAAAGAGTCTACATTTCAGATAGGCTTGGTAGTAGGTAGTGCTGTCCTCAAGCATTTACTCAAGCGCTCGATAGATCAACGTCGTTCGCCTTTCACAATAGATGAGCTCTAAATTTTGACCCTATAGACGCTCCTAATTTAGTACTTTCGTCCTTAATTTTTCAGTCTTCGCACTATCTTAATACTTTGCCTATTATTTTTGAGAATGTACTTGATTTCACGTGCGAAAATGATGAGAGAACTGTTTCAGCTTAACTACTGAAATTGCAAATGTTTTTCAAGATTGACAGACCCGTTCAGGGATACGAAGCAATTCTAGCGACCTACTTATGTACAACGTCACCGTAGATCGCAGTGATGATAATGATTCATTTCTGCCGCAGCGCAATACGATGTGGACAAGTCAAAGGAGCTGTTCCATTATTTGCCTACCGCAAACACTACTTTTGTTCGATTATTGCAAATAGCCAGTCAAAATTGACAGAATTTGCGATTTGGTGAAGCTGTGGCTTAGTTTGAATAAAATAACCCATTCAAATCGAAGAAAATCCGAAATTTCGACATACTGCGCTACGATAGTTAAAAAGAACTTATCTAACAAGTGGTCATGCAATCGCCGCCAGTGTTCAGCTTGAATAAGTTCGCCGTAGCCTCAGTACACGACTCCTGGATAATCGGGAGAGGGCCGCCAAACACTCTCTGCCAGATCTATGTTCTGCAATTTATAAACACGTATAGAATTCCGATTTGTGGGATCACGAATCTCTGAAAGGAGCGCCTAGACTTCATGCTCTTATTCATTCAAATGGTATTTTCTTTTGTTGTTTTTTTCGTTAAATAACAAGAAATTGTGAATAGCCAGGTTTATTCGACATAATAATGACCACGTCGTCTTGCCTAGTATATCGTAGTTTAAAAACCAATTACGTGAAGTTTATGCGGATACAGAGCGGCTATACTCATTTCATCGATGCATTCGTTCCTGTATGCCTTACAAGAGATCGAGTACCTCTTGTTTGCTTATGAAACTTTGCTCACTCCTTTCTTATCTCTTTAACAGAGCGCACATTGAAAGTTGTTCAGAATATGATATTCCCAGACGCACGTTTTCCGCTTGAATAGTGAGAGAAACGATACTAAATCAGATTTTCTTACCATCTGGCCTTCGGATATCATTTTTTGTATGAGCACTCGAGTGAATCATTAGACATTCAAGCATAGAAAGTAATTTATTCTCATTTTTGCTCGGGAGAATTTTGTACACTGGAGCTGTCCGTTCAACTGCTCAAAACAGTCTGCGACCACTTCTATGTGAAGCAGGTGGTAAACAATCACGCGGATATATGCAGTAGAGCAGCGACTGGGGGTCCAGTTGAGGCTTCTCTCTAATCGTGAAGCGACAGAAAACTTTCATGACAATCGCTGTCCCATTGCCTAATCTCTTACTTGAGCAAATAATTAATTGGATTAATTGATACGAAGCAGTCCGAGTACTCCTTCTAGAGATTTGTGAATGGCAAATCGGAATTCTATGCATGTTTATGAATTGTAAAACATAGATCTGGTGAAGAGTGTTTGGCGGCCCTTCGCTCGATTATCCGGAGTCGTGTACTGAGGCTACGGCGAACTTATTCAAGCTGAACACTGGCGGCGATTGTATGTCCATTTGTTAGATAAGTTTTTTTTAACTATCGTAGTGCAATATATCGAAATTTTGAATTCACTTCGATTTGAATGTGTTAGTTTATTGAAACTGAGCCACAGTTTCACCAAACCGCAAACTCTGTCAATATGATTGAAGCTCAAAAACGAGGTTGTTACGCCAGGGTCATACACCGGTGTTTCGGAGGTTCGTCCTCCTCATCAGTGACCCCCGCCCCACATTCAGCCCTGCATTTTTGGGGGTTTCAAAAACAGTCGATCTTTTGATATACCATAGAAATATTGAAGAAAGAGCAGTGGAGTACACGTGCCTCTGTGGTGTAGTGATAGCACGCGCGCCCGGTAAGAGTGGAATGCGGGTTTAATTTCCGCCTGTGGTCAAGTTTTCTGTTCACCATTTGACTCTCTTAAAAATGTTCAAAACATCATAACACTGCGTAAAAAGCAGTGAATATGCTAGAAATTTTAAGCATCACAAAAACTTTCGTTTTGCTACGCGTTGTAAGAAAGGTTTTTCTAATAGCAATTATACTCTTGAATTTTGCGAGATATGGGTTATAGGACAGTTGATAGCAGTCGATGGAAAGACTTCCGTTCGGTAAGATATAAGCGCGAAACAATGAAAGCTTTCAAAATTGTACAACGCTATAAAAAAAGCCTTCCAAAAACGGGCATGCAGTCCAGTCGCGCGATGTAGAAATGTAGAAATTTGGAAAAAATAAGAAAAATTTTGCTTTGCTCAGGAGAATTTTGTGTGCTGCAACTGTTTGTGAAACTGCCCAGAACATTTCTGTGCCCACTTCTGTGCGAAGCAAATTAGTAAACAATCATACGGACATGTGAAGTGGAGGAGCGGTTGGCTATCCAGTTGGAGCTTCCCTCTAATCATGAAGCGATAGGAAAGTTTCATGATAATTGCTGTCCCACTGCTGCTCTATCGCTTGAGCAAATTAGCTTTTGAAATAATTGAAGGCCAAGCAGTCTGAACGCCCCTTCTAGAAATTCCTGATCTGTCAAATCGGAATTCTGTACGTGTTTATAAATTGTGGAACATAGATTTGAAGACGAGTATTTGGCGGCCACTAGCTCGATTAATCTTGATCCGAGCACTGAAGCTACAGCGAACCTTTGCAAGCTGATCATTTGTGGCGATTAGATGGCTACTTGTTAAATCTGTATAATCCTGCTCTCATATTGCAGTACATTATATTTTAGATCACCTTCTACTTTAACGTGTTGATTTATACAGATTAATTCATGGTTTCACCAACTCGCAAATTCTGTGAAAATGAAGGCATGAAGTGATGGTAATCTAACAAAAACGCAAGTGGTATATGAGCGATGTTAAATAGAACATGTTTCATCGTGCCTCCTCCTACTTGCTTAGATTGTTGTTAGCTGAGGCAGAAATGATATTTCCGACGTCAACATTTAAGACGTTGACGTCGTATATAAGTAGGTCGCTAATGCATAGTGTCGTATCCTAGACGGGTTCATCTATCTTGCATAACATTCGCAGTTTCCGTAGGTGAGCTGAAATAGTCCTGTCATTTTCACAGATGAAATCAATTATATACTCAAAGACAATAAGCAAAGTGTTAAGGAAAGGAAGAGATTAAATATTTCAGAATGAAGGTTAGGAATGAGAAGCGCAATATAGTCAAAGTTCAGTGTTCAATCATTGTGAGAACGAAAGATTTGATCTATGGAGCGCTCTGACAATTGCTTTTGAACGAAGTGGCCGATTAATGTAGCACGATAAATCGGTTCACAGGTCTCCCTAACAAAGTGATAGGTCAGTTTCAAAGGCACACGGGGTTTACATAGTTGCGGATGGACGTGCAAACGTGGATCGAAGGTAACCCCATGCTTCCCGGATGTGCTATTGGATTTAAGAAGCGCACTACCTATTACCAAGCGTTCTGGAATGAAGATTCTTTTCTGCGGGTTAAATTAGCGAAACGTGTCCAATCAAGTAGTTGGTAAATACACTGAACAGCGGGTTTTGACGAATTCGAGAACAAGCTCTTCCCTGCCTCACTGGCGAGACTGGCGAGTTATCCGATAAATCTATTCATCATGCTTGGAACTAAACATGCTGTATGTTAAGCATTGAGAACTAGATGGGGAAAAGAGGAGAAAGTTCTTTGCGTGGGTGGACCCTCCAGAGATGTGCTAAATATTCGTGTTCAATTTTTAGCTTCGTTTGAGGTGATTGAATGCTCATTTGGCCTTTGAAACTACCCGAAGGGCTTTTTGATGCATCAAATCGGCGCTGCTATTTTTCCAAACAAGTCTCGTATCACCTCGAAACCTCGGTGAAATGGAAGGCTTCGTGAGTCTTCGATGAGAGATTGAAACATCGATCATCGACTTATAGAACACTTGTATATCGCAGAGCACCTATGACACACGCTGAAAAGCTTGACGATGTGCGAAGAATGAGACCCTGAAAAACTCCCCGCCTCCACTTCATCCTATAGGAGTCAACAAGAAATGACAAGTACACTCACGATTGCATCTGTGAAGTGTGTGGATCTTCCCTATATTCATAAAATAGTGCCATTCGTTGAAGAACTTTAAGTAAAGAAGACACTTTACTATGCACACGTCAGACAAAAAGTTATGGACGAAAGTTTTTGAAATGTGCTTAGTACTCCTGCATGAATCTAAGAATGAGTAGCGGGTTTCAAATCGTAAAAGTTACGATCATACACGAATGGACTACATGGAGGTGTTTAATGATTACGCTTGACCATACCACGCGTCATAGTCTGTGTTGATTTGTTTTGTTCGAGTCAGGCACAATCCTAGCACTCCATGCAAGATTGTGCGGCCGTTATTCAGGAAATTACTCATAGAAGAGAAAAACAGTGAGTGTTCCGACGAGGACGTATGTGTATGGATCCTTGCTTGCATGCGGTTTCTTGCTCTCGATTGTTATTTATTTGAATGTTTACGATATTTTCAGAAAAGTAGAAGTATTCTAAACGAAATACAGTCTTCACGGCATAACCAAACTTGACGAATCCCGACTTGAGCATGACAAGACGTGAAAAACATCAATGGTTTGCGGTAACACGAGGGCGAAATAAGAAGTAGCGTGACTTGTGACACCTGACCTAGCTTCCACGCATCAAAAAAGTCTTGTGTGTTGCCCATAGCTCTTCTTAGTGCACTTAATATAGTTTTTCTTCTTTCTTTATGAACCATAGGAAGGAAAGGCATCATTAAAGGCATCAAACGCTTTAATTATCATATCGTTGCCACAGGTATATTTATTGAACACGAAGTTGTGGCGTTTGAAAAGATTTCAACGAATCGCATGGTAACCGTGCTGGTTCCCTCTCAAGAAATTCAAATCTTGAACGAGTTTTAAATAAATCTCAAGCAATATAGAAGATTTAAGTGAGCAGAGATTCTGAGAAATAAAAATCAAAGAAATACTAGCATGGAAAATATCCTGTTAACGATCAGCAAGTATATGAATTTGCAATATCAAAACTCTGCATTCTGAATGTAGTGCTGATGGAAGAGCCACGAGCGACCAGATCTGTGATGACCTTTGTAGTCTATCGCTTTTTCTCATTTATGACCAATCATCGGATTGTCGATAAAGAGGTTTATTCAACACAGCAATGACTAATACTTCTGCTGCTACACTTTGAACCTTAGAAAGGTCAAGTTGATTCGTAGTGTGCAAAGCTAAGCACTTGCAACCACGAAGGAAAACTCAGTAAACAAATTAAGGTTAATGCCGTGCACCGCACTTTCTGAATTCACCATTATCTTTTTTAAACTCTTCGAGTATTTCGCTGGAGGCCGGCCACACAGTCATGCATGGGTCACTATTGCGTCTAGCTCAGGGTTGAAATCTCAACTTAAGCTATGACGTGGGGTCATACGTAGTCAATAGACACCCTCTCTGTAGTTTATTTACTGATTTCTGAGATGTACTCGCCTCAAAGTTTTTGCACAGACGTTTCAGAAATTCATGCGGATTCACTGACCTATGTTTCTATCTCTTATCCGTCATGCCGTTGTTCCCTGCGTGTGCTTAATATAGTGTTTTTTCGGCTTAAGTATCCCAACTAAGCTGTTTCACACGGTGGTAAAGCGGTTTCACACACTTCACCAATGTATTCGTGCTTGTATGCTTCACAAGACATGCAGTGCACCATATCTAAATTTGTGCAAACGCTTGTAACCTTACTCTGTCACACTTCTTTTTAGCAGTGAAATTGTTTGAAACATGATCACAAGAGCGCGCTCTTTGCACTAAGGATAAGTGGAAAGATACTAGGTCAGTATTTCTTACTGCGTAGCTTTCAATGCCACTTTGTATCATAGAATGTTTGCGCGAGTCGACTTGAAATTCAAAAACGTTCGATTTCCCTAGGGGAGTCTTGTGTACTCTGACTGCTCGTTTGAGGACTCATAACAATTTTCCATCTACTCCTACGTTGTCTAAATCTCAAAATAATCATGCAAATGCTTGTAGTAGGGCAGCAGCCGAGAAGCGATAACAGGAGCTTTCCCTCTAATGTTGAAGTGAAAGCAAGGTTCCATACCAGTCGGTGTCTTACTGCCTACCTTTTTTACTTATGCGAATACTTTTTAAATCAACAGTCAAGGAAACACTCCTTTGAAGGAGACGCGATCTGACGAATCGGGAAAATCAAATGTGTCAATACAATGTACAATATAGAGGGGTCAAGGATTTCTTTGGTTATCCGACTGGTAATAATAAAAAATCTTTTTTGCTAGACAATAACCTTTCTTTGCAAGAGTAATAATACTTATTCGAAAGTCAAATTTCAAGGTACTGCTGTACATCTTCGTTTTGCATAAACACCTTCTTCCCCTCTAAAGCATTCAGAAAAAGAAGAGTTCCCCACGAGCAGCGCTTTTTTATGATTATGGCGCTTATAGTTCGCTGGAAAAAGCTCTTCCCCAAATATATTATTGATCGCTGAATAGCGCGGATCACTAATAAATTCAAAAACGCGCTTAATTTCTAGAAAAGCTTCTTTTAGGCGCTGTAGCTGCAAAATCAACGTTGTATCTCATACATGTCGAAAGAAATCCTGCAGTGCTCCGTTATTTGTTTGAAATTCTTTTCGGCTTTGTGGAGATTACAAGGTTTTTGGGCTGGATTCATAAAAGAAATTTTTTTTTGTAGCTCTAAAGCTTAGACTTTGCATATTCAACTTGACCTCCGACGAGAGTTGCACCCCCGTTTCACTGATAGCGGAGGCCCTTGCTACAAATACACCACAGAGACACCGTTTTACCACTACTCATTTTTCAATCGCCCTAATATAGCTATGAGCCACAAATCTATAATAAGTTTGGTTGAGTAAGCGATACCCCCTCAACAA